AGTCAATTAATCAATAAATAAATCAATCAATCAATTATAGATGCTTCCGTTCACACCTGCTCCTTGTCAGCTGATTATCCCTGTCTTTGTTCAGTCTCTCATTTATATTTCTCTTCTGCAGTTTCTCATTTCTGGTTTCTCGTAGTTATTTTGGTCATCATGTGTTTTCCCCTGGCATGTCCTGGTTTTTGATTTTCTACATTTTGGATTTAGCTTCTGTTGCCTTTTTTGCTTCTTCATTAAATCAGCAAAAACTCACCTCTGCCTCCTTCTACTCTGCATTTGGGGCCACAACCACATCCACATTCTTTGACAAATATTGAGGTTTTTTTATTCTTACAATGAAGCTTCTTTGACAACTTGATAACATAAATGCTACAAAATATTAAAAAAGCAAGAAATCCAGAGGTGAGCAAAATCCTCTTACACGTTATCGTTTTGATTGGTTTGTTAGAGCCTAATACAGAGGCTAAATAAGGTGAAAACAAAATTTCTGCATAGAGAAATGCAGGACAAGCATGTCATGAAGAACATGCAGAGAAACAGGAAGGTGTAAGGGAGGAACACAGAGCTTTAGTTGAAGAATCCAGTATAAAAAAAACGACTACTAATGATGAACAAGGGGAGAATGACCCTGAAGAAGGTCAGTAAGTTATAAGATAAGACAGAGGAAGCACACAGAGACAGGGGAAGACAGACTATGACTAAATTAATTTAAAGATTAAACAAAAATATAAGAAGCAGAACCTAAAAGGAAGAAAATAATATGACAGGAGATGAATGATACAACACAACTGAAATCCAAACCTGAAACACAAAGATCATGAGAACTGTCATTGTAAGAGTATTTGCTAACAACAGGATGTGCTTCTATCTTAAAGATGTTCTCTAGTTTACACAGATAGGGAATGATAGAGGGAATGTTTTTTTTTTTTTGACACAACATAATCTTGAGATTATAAGATACCGTAGACCACTTCCATTTCTACTGATACTGTTAGATCAAGATGTGGTAGCAGCTGTATGCACATTTCTTAGCATCACATTAGCATCCTTAGAGGCAATAGCTTGAAGGCTCAAATAAATGGAAGTAGTTCTATAACACTGCAAAGAAATATTTACTCTGAAATAAGTGTTACATCAACGCTTTGAAAAAGTTATCCTTGCAAATATTATTTGAAAATCCAAGAATGATCCACGTATTGTTGTTCTAGGGAAAACTTATATAGCTTTGGTGAAACATGTATACTTAAGAGTACATACCTCATGTTTTGCAGTATACAGCTTATTTGTAATCATAACCAGGGGATGATGTAGGGTTCTCTGAGATCGGGGGCTTAGTCCTGAGGGTGAAGATGAGAGTGTAGACTTTCTGCTAAATCCTGTTCTAATGTAAAATATGACAGATTACTGGATTAAAGAAATTTCTTTTATACTACATGCTATCACACCTAAGAATTCCACCTCCATAACATGGGGAGAAATTAATTTACCTGCAAATCTTTAACTGTGTTTATTCCTCTCTTCATCAACAACAAACTCTGTGTATTTTGGGACGTTTTATCAGAGTTATGAGAAGGAAATCAAATATTTTAGTCATTTGATATGATCCATTCCCCCATTACATGGGAAAAAAAATAATCAAATCCTGTGAATTTTAAAATTGTCATTATTTTTTTTATATTATGTTTGAAACATTTATTATTTTATATTTTGAAATCCAAAATAGTTAAAATAAATATGTCTGTTGGTTTGATGATCTTTATGAAATGTATTTTAATTCTCAATTCAAAATGTCTGGAGTAGCATTGCTCCAGACATGTGTTTTAAACTTTTTTTGGAATATTTGTAAATTGTGAGATAAACATTTAGACACAAAATATATTTCATATAGATCATCAATGGGGGAACAGATTATATCAGGTGGCTCAAATATATGAATTCCCTCTCATAACTCTTGCAAATAATGAACAAATGTCACCAAATCCACAGAGTTTGTTGTTGATGAAGAGAGGAATAAACAAAGTTAAAGACTTGCAGGTGAATTAATTTAATCCCATGTTATGGAGGAGGAACAGATTATTTCAGGCAGTTGAAATATCCATCCTCTCCTCTCCTCCTTTCATATATTTGGGAAATAAAGAGCAAATGTTTCCAAACTCTCAAAAATTATGTGTGATAGCATGTTGTATACTAGAAATGTCCTTAATCCAGTAATCTGTCATATTTCACATTAGAACGAGATTTAGCAGAAAGTCTACACTCTCATCTTTTTAGGAACTCTTAATATTTGTGTCCTGCTATCAGCAAGTTTTCATCCTATTATATCAGCAATGAAAACTGATAAATACTCACTATGAGTTGGAAAAACTGTTTGGTGATTGACTTTTATTTCTGTCAGGCTGAAGGGACTAAGTTGAAAAAAGACCGATTCTCTTGGCGTTTAAAAAAAAAAAACACAAGCAAAGCTTGAAATGACCTCATTTATTTTACAATTTTGTAAACAACAGCTGCTGAATAAACTGGATGTTACAACCTTATAGGGATGGGACGATTTATAAAAACCGTCCAAAACCGTTTGGTTCGACTGTCTCGGTTCGCTGCTCCTTTTTCTCATAAGCGAAGCGTTTGCACTCCA